GTAGAGAATCAAAAGAGCTTCAAAGAGAATTTTGAATCACCTCAATACTATTTTTTTATAATTAGTTATTGACAAACTCAATTATTTTTATATATTTTGATATCTTTTATATGGGTTTTGTCAACTTAATTAGTCCTTTTGGCCTTAATTGATTGTTAATTGATTTAATATATTTTATTTTGAATTATTATTTTATAGGGGTAAAATTGTCATATTTTGGTTTAATTATGATTAATTGATTTTTAAGGACAATTAATGCTACCTTATTTTTAAATTTTGATTGTAGGTTTTTGGAAGTTTTAAAAATTAAAAAAAAAAGAGAAAAGAAAAAAATAAATAAATAAAGAAAAAAATAATTAAAGGGGGAGCAAATCCCTAATATCCAATATAATCATCATCTTTATTGGCGTGAGAAGGGGGGACACAAACAAACAAAGTGCCAGCGGTGGAAAAAAAAGAGAACAGCGAGACAGAGCAGACCAGCGACGGCACTATTCATCATCATCTCCAGCGAGCTGACGGCGTGAAGAGGACCAGAGCTCGACGGTGCTAGGCGAGTGGAGTTGACGGCGGTGTGGAACAACGAGGCAGACAGCGAGACCAAAGGACCAGACGCGTTGCAATAGAAGCAGAGCGGTTGAACGGAGAAATCAAACCTCCATAGTCTCGACTTCACCTCCCCTCTCTGTCTCTCATCAACCGAAACCCGTCCTTCAGCATTCATCTACCTTTCGCTGTGTTTTTTGTTTTTGCTATGGCTGTGATTATTAAATCATACGGTGGAGCTTCAGTGATGCAGGGACTTAGCTAAATCCTTCCAATCCTCTAGAGCAATGGTTATGGCTTGAACTTAGAGCTTCAAAGGGGAGTTTCAGCTCTTCCAATCTTTACTTCTTTCATTATAATTGTGATTTCTAGGTCTTAGAATTAATTTTATAATGTTTGAATGGGCTGTGATGGTTTATATTTGTATTGAGATTGGTTGTAGTTATTGGAATCTTTGATTAGCATTTAACATTATGCTGTGATTTGCTTTAATTTCTTTATATTGTACTGGGTTAGACTATGTTTTGAAATTATTATGAACATTCAGTGGTAATTCAAGGTGGCTTGGTTATTGGACTAAAAATGTTAATTGCTTTTCTTTGATTTTCTTTTTAGCTAATTGTGCTGAAACAGTTTAATTGTGAATAATTAATATGCAAGGTGGCTTGGTGTTGATTATTCTAATTAAATCGAGTCTAAGGGGTAGCCCTTAGAGTCTTTTGAATTTAGCTAACTCCCAAATTAATTGAAGTAATGATAGCCTTAATCATTGTGCTAGAGGATTGCTTTTCCATTTATTGTCACTTGTTAATTCACTTTGCTTATTTCATTCATATCCATTTTATAAACTAAAAATCTAAAAATTATTTACTCATTTTGCATCCTTTTAAATTTTGCCAATTAGTTAGTTAAAAGGAAAATCAATTCCTTTTCAAGTCAATTCTTTATTTTTGATACTTAGTTTGCTTAGAATTCCAAATAAAGGCTCCTCAAAGTGAAACGACATGAGTTTTGCACTATATTGCATTGCTTGGATTTATTTTTGATTGGGAACCCCAAGGCAAACGACAAATGCTCTCATCAGTTATGAATTTTCAAAGTTGGACCAAAAATCTGAAATTTACTAGTGAATAGTAACCCAAAAATTAACTTTCAAAATTTCAATCTACGGGCTTGATTCATGAATCGCTTGAATCATAACACTTCCAAATATATACTAAAAGGGGTTTAACGAAAGATGTTTCATCTGTCATGGGTATGGAGAAGAAGAGAAGGAGAAAAAGGACATAAAAAGAGAAGGAAGAAGGGGGAAAAAGGGAAGAAGAGGAATGTCTCACCAGATTAACACTGATTACAGTAAATTGATGTGGTGTTTCAGCAAATTGACAGATTAGACTCCTTAATTTTTTATTTCAAAAAGATAAAAATTGCCTTAACTTTCATTTATCCCCTGCATCTATCAATTTAATCCTGTTTTTTACTTTTTTTTTTCCAACGGCCAAAACATTCCCAATACTGAACATAGAAGACTTGCAATTATACCATCCTGTGTACTTAGCTACTAGGCATCACCTGATGCACAGCTAAGGAGCAAAATAATCCCTTGTTTTTGAAATTTGAAATGCTTAATATGTGGAAATTATGAAATTAATTCTAATTTTGGATTAAAAAAATTGATTCTATAAGTGTCTATATATAAATATATTCTACTATAAATATTTTTTTTGTATTTGTATGCATATAATATTATATTTAATTTAATTATTATATTACTAGTCCAACCAAATGATCTAACTGATCTGATCATTTGAATCATGACCCGCTAGTCTCTCCTATTTGATATTCAGTCTAGCTTTTAAAACATTGACTACCAGCAAGTTGATCATTTATCCAAGTGTACGGGATCAACATATAAAAAATCTTAAGCCTCATTTGGTGCAAAGGATTGATTTTTGATGAATAGAAATTGAGAACGAGAGTATGAGAGGAGGAATTATTAGGCTTTTATTTTACGTTTGTTATAAAGTAATATGTGGAAGGAATACCAACAAAAATTAGGTTCAGTAGAATGGATTAGCAACTTCACAAATTAATATTCGAATCCCAATAGAGATATATGCTCGCATTCAGTACGTATCTGGCAATTACTCAAATATTATTACTTCTAATAAAAAGATACATGTGTCTAGCAAAAAATTTGGTAGGAATACCAGTGGGAGATGATGTTTCCCTCGTTATGACCACCAGCAACAATAACCCTCTCTACTCATAAATGACGCTTTCTTCTTTTTCCTTCTTCATAAAAAAAGTAATTAAATTAATTAAATATAAATAATATTTAATAAAAAAATAATAATAGTAATTTATAATTTTAGAATTTTAGAATAATTAAATAAAAATAATGAAATTTAAATAAAATTGAAATAAAAAACTAATAAAAAGATTAATCCATAAAAAAGCACAATAAAATATATAGGAATCTAATACAGTTTAGGTAGAATTATATTGATATCTTAAATAAGAAAGATAATTATTAGAAAAATCTTACAACTGAGTAACTAAAGCCTGTCGTCATTTCTTATATTTGAATTTGTCATTACAAGTTGCGCATTTGTTATATGATTTTCTAATGAATATATTTTTTTTGGCACTTTATAATAATTTTTCCTTTATTTTACGTGAATATGCAAGATTCGCATAAATATAGGTTAGCTTACTGCACGGTGCTTTGCGTCTGCGTCTGCGTCTGCGTCTTCATTCCTTTCTTCTCGGCTTTCAGCAAAAATTATAACTAAACACCCCGTTCTATTCTCGCCCCCTGCTTTTCGGGTCTCAGAGAAAATTACGATTGAATACCCATACTTTTCTATTGTCCATTTGTCCCGTGCTCCTATGAACTATCTCTCTCTCTCTGTATATATGCTGGAGAAAACTACGATCAAGGACCATCAATCTTCACTTATCTGCCACGAGGTCTTGGGCTTTAGAAAAAATATTATAATTAGTGACCTCATCCCTTCAAAATCTTACAAAATAGAATGCCAACGAAAGAAGAACAGCTAATAATCAAATATTTAAAGCAATGTATAGAATAGTAGAATGAAAGAGTTATATGAATAAATCAAGCCATCTGAGATGATATTCTTGGTGAAGAAGACTGAAGACTTTACCAAGTCTTAATTATTAACTACTTGTTTCCTCCGAGGAATTAACCAATTAATTATATATTATACGGCACTACGGGTGAATTAAGACTTAATATATTAGACAATGATATTTTTATTAAAAACAGTGTCGGGCACATGGCTCACCTTGGAGATGTAGAGGATTTGGATGCCACCTGTCGTAAGTGATATCTTAATAAAGAGATTATGATAAGAGACATTTAACTTGTTCCTTCAGAAATAAAAATGTGGAAAAATTATAAACAACTCTCAAATAAGAAAATCAATTATTACCTAATCAAACTTGTGTATTTATAAATAGTTAGAACTTATAGGGAAGTAATCTTTTTTTTGGAACCAATATGCAATTATCCCTTAAATATTTCGATCCACCTGTCAACTAGGTCAAAACTCGTGCCCTAGCTATGTGGTATCATTGAAGAGTTTCAATGAAGGTAGAGTTATTGGATATTAATGGAAGTAGAATAAATGAAAATACAACTGGAATGAAAGTGAGATTTAAAAATGTGGGTGCGATTATGTAAACATGATACACTTTAATATTTTGATGCATAAAACTTTCTAATTAAGTTATATTACTAATGAGAAACAGTAAAGGTACTACGGGTGAATTACGACTTAAGATATTAGACAATGATGTTTTCAATAAAAATAGTGTCGGGCACATGGCTCACCTTGCGGATGTAGAGGATTTGAATGCCACCTGTCGTAAGTGATATTTTAATTAAGAGATAATGATAAGAGGCATTTAACTTATTCCTTCTGAAATAAAAATTTGGAAAAATTATAAACAACTCTCGAATAAGAAAATTATTCCCTAAATCTCATTTATATATCAACCCTTTGTATTTTATAAATAGTAATAACTTACAGGTAATTGCGGAAACACATAATTTATAGGTAATCAATTTTTTTTCTGGGGAACCAATATGCAATTATCCCTTAAAATTTTGATCCCCCCCCCCAACTAAATCAGAACTCGTTTTCAATGAAGTGTAGAGTTATTGGAAATTAATGGAAATAGAATAAATGAAAATACATCCGGTGGAGGATATTTTGTATTTGCTACAAATTAATGCTTGGACGCCACCAGCCATATGGATGAAAGATAATGTTAATAATTGATACCGTATTATGGATATAGTTGTTTTGATTAAGTCGAAACAAAAAATAATACTAATTCAACAATGACTGCTCCTCTCCTTAAGCTATAAATAGATGATGACAACAATGCATTTGGTCACAAGAAACAAAAAATTTGAAGAAAGGATTTTGAGAAAGATGATGAAAGGTTCAGTATTTATCTCTCTCATTGCGCTGTTGGCTTTGGCTTGCTCCTTTGCTTCTGCCTATGACCCCAGCCCTCTCCAAGATTTCTGTGTGGGTGTGAATGATACCAAACTTGGAGGTACGCATTCACACAATACCATTCATATTATATTGCATCTCTTTCTACATCTCGTCATTTTTTTTTTCACTAGCACCTGCTACCCAGAGTCATTCAAACCAACCCGGTTGGGACTCTTGCGGGCAGCAAGCTCTCCTAACAAGTATTTGGTTAAGCTAGCACATCTCCCTTACTAGCTGGGTTATGCACGTGTTGATCTATATCTCTTGTCATTTTATTGATTAGTAACATTGAATTGGTTTTGTGCAGTCTTTGTGAATGGGAGATTCTGCAAAGATCCGAAACTTGTTAAAGCAGAAGACTTCTTCTTCCACATTAATGAAGGCAACACATCAAATCCATTGGGCTCTCAAGTTACTCAAGTGTCTGTAGCTGAATTTCCAGGACTTAATACTCTTGGTATCTCCCTTGCTCGTATTGATTATGCTCCTTATGGTTTGAATCCTCCCCACACTCACCCTCGTGCCACTGAGGTATTGTCCGTCCTTGAAGGAACTCTCATGGTGGGATTTGTGGCTTCCAATCAAAATGATAATCGCTTCTTCACCAAAGTACTCAACAAAGGAGATGTGTTTATATTCCCCTTCGGTATGATTCACTTTCAGATCAATGTTGGCCATGGAAATGCTGTGGCACTTTCTAGTCTCAGTAGCCAAAATCCAGGAGTCATTACTATTGCTAGGGCTGTGTTTGGATCCAATCCTCTCATTCCTAGTGACGTTCTCTCTAAAGCCTTTCAAGTCGACAAGAAAATAATTGCCCTTCTTCAACAGCAACAAGGGTCCAACAATTACTAAACGGGCTATATATTCTGTAATAAATAAATGTGATGCATGCAGCTTTATGTTGTATCAATACTCTTTCCTCATGTAACTTCGTTTATATACCTTGGAATAAATACATAAATAAATTGCTTTACACATTGTGATTAATAATTAATTATTACACTCATGTTTAACCATTTTCTTCTCCGCTCTTCATTCTAGGTCCTACCTTACTAGTTTTTATCTTTGTCTTCATAGTTCGCCTTAACATGGTAAACTCGTTTCGCAAATAATGATGATGATGTTAAATCCTAATTAACCATAAAAATTAATTTATATTACATAAGAATAAAAACGACGACATCCTTAAACATTCAACCTCTTGCTTGAGTAAAAATATTTTAATGATTCATGTCATAAATTACAAAATAAATTACATGTAGAGGCCGTGTTTCAAATAGTTCACATGATGTCCTTCAGTAAATCTAAATCTTTTTATATATTACCTTTGGTTCTATTTATAACACTTCGATTGTAAACTACAAACTAGGTCTTATAATTAGAACGGGACGTAGTATGTTTTTATCATTCAAACATTTTTTCAATATTAACTCTAAGTAATGAGAGTCATAAAATATTGTTGGATATGAACTTTCGATGAGGTCAATATAATAATGTATCGAAACTTAATCCATTCCTTAATCAACTTTCGTTTTCGTTTTCTTTATCTTTTTTTTTGGGGGTGAAAAATGGTTTCTATATTAAACCTTCTCAAAAGTTTTTTTTTTCTGGGAGTGAATTCTCCAAAGTTCACTTTGAAGAGAAGGGAAAACATATTCATGCAGAGTTTTGTGAAAAAGAAATGGGAGAGAGAGAGAGAGGGACGTCAAGAAACGAATGAGATGATCATTTTGATAATTTTGCTTTTTTTTTTCCAGCCGCTATTTTTCTTCAATCAAGGAATTAACCAATTATTAGACCTTTATTGGTATTATAGCTAATAATATATGAGAGAGAGAGAGAGAGAGAGATTTGAAAAAGACTAATTATTAGGCTTATCCATCCAATAATTTTGTCACAAAAAAACACAATTGAAAGAAAGGAACAGCCGCAATCCATTGGAAGACGATTACCATCACACGCCACTGTATCAACAGTTGCGATATCGAATACTCATAGAAGTTTGACCTCTAAATCATTCACACATTAAAAGTGGTTCAAATGATCATAATAATACTTCTCTATTCCTTTTATAAAGCGCTTCTACAGTGTTTGTTATATAAGGACATAAAAATACTTCAAGAAATTTGTTTCAACTTCTCAAAAGCACTTTTATATAAGTCAAGGAAAAACTCTTTTTAAATACTTATGTTATAAATACTTATGTTAGAATCACTCTTCAAAACTATAGTTTTGAAGATCCAAACACCTCATACAATTCAAAAACGAGTATTAGATATCAGCTTTTCAATGGGAATATTTTTTTTGTTGCTTTCAGTTGGTATGATAACAAGACTATTTTCTCCATTTAACTTCAAACCATCGTCTCCTTCCTTTCTCGCTCATGCAATTTTTTTTTTTTTTTGCCACCCCTTTCTCACTGATGTAATTATCACCGAAACATTTTTATAGCAACTCTAAGTAATGAGAATCAGATAATATTGATGGATATGAACTTTTGATTAGGTCAATTATCGAAGCTTAATCCATTATTCATTTATCAACTTAGTTCTTTTTCTTTTATTTTCTCTGTTGTTTCTGTAAAAAAGTCTTCAACCTTCTCTTTCATAACCATATGGGCATGTATGCACCAACATGTGCACCAGATGTAAATTAAAGACATAATAAGTTGACATAAAATTACGTTCAATTGTGATTTAAAATTAACCTTGGTAACATTACGATTGTAAATTTAAATTTTAAAAGAAGGGGAAAACGTCTTCTTGTAGACTTCACTATACAAGAAATGAGAATGAGTGAGTTAGAGAGAGAGAGAGAGAGAGTAAAAAAAAAAACTGAGAACATAACCAGTAAGCAGCTTAAGGGTATGTTTGGCTCAATGAGAGGAAGGGGAGGGGAGGGATTTTAATGGAGGGAAGGGGAGGGGAGGGGAGTGGAAGGATTTTAATATCACCTTGTTTGGATTTATAAAAAAAGAGGGGAGGGGAGGGAAAAATATTTTAATATGGACAATTTTGCTCTTATTTTATTTAAGGCGTGGGCATAATAGTCACAACATGACAAAATATAAACATAATGGTCACAACATGACAAAATATGAACATAATGGTCATAATATGACAAAATATTGCCTTTTCCCTCCAAATCCTCCCAATTTTGGAGGGGAGGTTGAGGAGGGGAGGGAAGGGGAAATTTTAAAAAATTTTCCCTCCCCTCCTAAAATTTGTGTGTTGCCAAACAAGGGAAAATGATTAAAATCCTTCCCCTCCCCTCCCCTCCCTTCCAAATCCCTCATACCAAACACACCCTAAAAGTAACACTGGACGTCAACCTACGAAAGAAGAAAAGTTAAAATAATCGTACTACTACATTCAAAATCATTCATAGAAAAGTAGAAAGAAAGGGTCCTGGGAGCATGCGTGTGTTTTTGAGAGACAGAGACGTCGAGAAACCATCTGAGATGATAATTTTGGCAACAGCAGAAGAAGACCGAAGACTTGAAAGTATTGACCAGCGTCAATCAAGGAATTAGTCAATTGTAAATTATACGCACCACAAATCCTTGTGTTCTACTGCCTCAATTCCTTAATACTATCTCTAATCTTTAATATAAGAGCTAATTTACTATTTAATTTAATCGTAAATATAATATCTTAATTAACTTTGTTTTTCATATTTAACCATTTTTTTAAGATAGTTCTTGTAGTAGTTGTATATGTTAAAGTTTCATCAAAGATAGTTCTATCTAATGCACATGATTAACAAGAATATTTTAGGAAAGACAACATCTATTTATTATAAATAACTAACTTAAATAATTTTTTTAATTTACTCAAATTAATTCACTAACTCTTATATATACATTAAGAACCAGAGGTACTACTATATTAGCATTAATACTATGAGACCCAAGATGCTGCAAGTGGATAAAACTGAAGATTTGAAAAAGACCAATGAGGTTTATCTATCCAATAGAGACAAGATGCTGCAGGTGGATAGAACTGAAGGTTTACACACATTCTTAAATTACTTGTGCTAATCGTTTTTAGGCGTAACACGATAATATAAAGAATATAATCGATTAGTTGAGTCAAATGGAAGAATAATTTGAACTAGTTGATGATTTGGCCAAAAAAAAAATACTACTCCCAATCCCTGATATATGAGCTAGTTGGGACATTGAACTTAGTCATAAATAAAAAATCTTAATCCATTACTTTGTCTCTTATATTTAGTATCTTTCCTCAAAATAATTTTCCTAGCTTATAAGCTACTAATGTATAAGGGATTCAAATAATTAAGTATTCATTTGCAATAATTGAAATTCCCATGAATTATGCCTTTGAAACTATGATTTTGAATTGCCCATTGTAATTTATAAATTCATGTAATTATGATTTTAAATAACTTGTTGCACCTTATATGTTCATACATTTTAATCTAATCTTCGAAGTTTCTTAACTAATACAACTAGACAAATTAAAACGAGGATGGTGTGTGTATACATATTAACAAATATTTATGTACTGTTTACTATGCGGAAAATTATGGTTTTTTTAAAAAGGAAATGGAAAATATACCAATCTCATCATATTCTTTGTAGGTGCACTTTTTATTTCCTTTTCAGAAAGCAAAATTTTTTTTGGATCCAAACATTGTACTAATTTCAAAAGATGTATAATCAACAATACACAAAAATATAGTTTCAAGCAAAATGGTTTTCGAGTTGGGCTTTTCCACGAATAAATTCCTACACTGAAGTAATGACAATAAATATGACAAAAAGTCTCTCTCGATTGGACGCTCTTCATAAGAATCTTGACTTGGTTCTCACATAAATTCAAACAACATTGAGTTGGTCCAACTTTGTACTTAACGTCAAGTTCCACAAAGCCATGCCATTGTCCAACCAAAATCTTGTTAATTATGTGGTTTTTCTGCTTGAGTGAGTGCTATTGGAAATTTGAAAAAGGTTTTTTAAACAAAAGAGCCATTTCACTCTAAAATCTCTAAAATTTATGTGCATGAAAATCAATTTTTTCTGCTATTAATAATAAGAATTCACATTATTCAGTTAAATTATTTAAGCTTTATTTTGCAGCTGAATATATACCACCACTAAGTTCGAGAAACTTCCAAGTAACTATATTCATACTAAGTTCAACAACTTCGTCTCTGAATATTTATATAGATAGATTGTGGAAGAACTAGAACAAAGATCATTCAAATAAAAATCTATGCCGGCAATTGCTAATATAAGAAAATGACTTGCCTAAGAGGGCGGCCCATAAGAATCTCTGCCAATTGTAACATTCTTCCATTTTGTCTGATGATGATGATGATATTGGTATCATCAATTTTCTTCCCCTTGATGATTATTCCCAATTACATTTTCCTTATCCTTCATCCCAAATGATATATCAGACTGCAGATCTATACCTTGCTCCTCTTAGCTAGCTTTATATATGAAGTCTCATCTTAGCTTCCAGTCTCATTGCATGACCTCTGAAAAATTGTCATTTTGATTTAAATATTAAGAATGAAACTGTGAATGCAAGGATTGGTTGATGGATTCGTCAATCACCAAAGTTATTGATGACTCCCATTGCGGGGAAGATAAAAAACTCGCAAGTTTATTGATTTCTTCGACTTCATGAAGATGAGCTCTGATATCTTCAGCAGAATAGTTTTATGATGAAGATGTTGCTAGTAACAGTTTTCTTCCTGTTGATACCCCATGCATTTTTTTTGATATCCTTTAATTTCTCCAGTTTCAAGTCCAGTACTGATGACATATCATATGAAAAATCAGATCGCCTTGACGTAACATCCGGATACATCGAATTGGTATGCTCCAGTTCAAACATTGGTCGAGCCACATATCACAAACCAATGCACCTGCGGGACAAAGCAACTGGGAAACTAGCAGATTTCTTCACCAGATTTACCTTTGTGATTGATTCACAGAACAGCAGCAATTTTGGAGATGGGATG